TTCACAATATGTAAACAGTAAAGTCTCCGCGAACTTTCGCTGTAAACTTTATCTCTCTGTGATTCTAACAAAAACTCTTATTTTCTTAAAATTCACAAAGTTACTTGGATATACTAACACAACGTGGGCTGTGTATTTATACTAGATTTTTTTACTGTTCCATAAAAGATGGGAAAGTGGAAGTAGAGGAGAATTTGAAATGTAAGCCTCTGTTGAGGACTTTAGTTCACATACTATCTAAGCAAATTTATTAATAACTTACTTTTAGGATCGTTGTTCTTAAAAACAAACTCTCGAGATTATAACTTTTAATGTTAATTAAGGAAAGTGTTTCTCACCATTACTCCAAATATAAAAATCTTAAAATTTAAAACCTAATAAATAAATTTATAAACTAACCATCAAATACTCGTTCTCTTAAATTTAAACTATTATATCAACTGAAGCACTTAGAGTATTTTATAAGTTAAACCTGGAAATTAAATATGTATAGAGGTCATTAAATAAACTGCTTTTTCAATGTTAATAATAATTACTATCAAAAATATTACAGAAGCACTCGGTGAATGTCAAGAGCGTAATTCTATTAATTTTAGTGACAGTGACGAGCGGTGTTACTTAAGGTGAAATAATTAAATTAATTCATGTATTTTTTTACTAAAATGTGTCAAAGAAATAGACAGTCGGCTTATGTTAATGATAATATTACAATGACTATCTTGTGTATCTATCAAAAAATAAAGCTCTTGATATTAACTCGACATTAAGTATTGTTTGTTAAGAGTACAATGGATGAGTCGTAATTGCAACTTGGATTTATAATCTCGTCTCTCAATCTGACACAAAATATCCGAAGGTTATCCATCTTTATCATCTGTACAGCCTCCTCAGGTAGGGTACGTTCCCTAGTGTTCACTCTCCTTATTCCGGGCATTATTGGACCCCAGGCGAATCAGACTAACACTAATACTAAACGGAGGGTGACTTCACGAATCTATAAACGAAAACGATAAAATTCTATAATAGGATTGAAAGATAATTGATTTTTGTTTAAATAAAGAAATAAATTCTATATATCGTTACTTAATATTCTTGAATTTTAGTTTGAACATTTTTTTGGACTTTTTTACTAATGAATATGCCTTATTACAGAAATGTATTCAAATGATAAATTGAACTATTACGATTAAGAATACATATGTGTATGATTTTAATATAACTTTATTATTAATATTTTACTTCAAATTAATATGCAACTTAACTAGTTCGATTTAAAAAAAATATATAAATATTGAACATAATATTATAAAGATATCAAAATGGTATTGTTATGAGCAAACATCAATAAACCTTGTTATTTGTTTTGTTGAAGGTTTCTTATATTTTTCTCAGTATTAATTTGCTCGGATCATTGAAATGCAATGTGAACAATGACCGAAAAATCCGTTTGTAACAAGATTAGAAAAACACGATATCTGAAGAAAGAGAAAATAAAACATATGTAGTTGTGATTGATAAAAACGATCGTTCTCAGACTGAAGTATCAAATAGTTGAAATTAGATTGAGTTTATATTATATCAGAAGCACTATAAATATAATAAAGAGTTGCTATATATTATAATCTTGTTTATGTTTGTCAATTTGTTATAATAGCTTAAGGTTTATTATCCAAAAGATGATTGTTTATCTTTTAAATTCATATTCATATTAACGTAGTTCATACAATATTTGTCAGCTTCAAGGATAAGGTAAATAAGCTGTTACCAAGCTACTGCTGTGAATGGGTGAAATGATGAGATTTAAGATTTTCGCGAGTACTCATTTAAATGAAACTAATATTTTTGGTTTTACTACGAGATTTTTTATTTTTGACTATAAACTACATACTCCCGACGTTTCGGCTACATTACAGCAACCGTGATCACGGGCAGTCGAGATGTGAGATGACATTTCAGTTAAAAATAAAAACCGCGAAGTAAATCCGAAAATATTAGTTTCATTTAAATGGGTGAAATGATTTTAATATTAATATAAATTTTTAAGTGTTAAAAAAATATCTGTTTTTTTATAAATCCATGACAAATTGAATCAGACATGAGCCACATTTCTGTGAGCTTTACATTGAAAAAAATAGTAAGGGAAAGGTGACCTTGTTTCAGAAATCACGAGGTTCATTCAGTCAATATAATAGATGGATACACAAAAGATTTGTTTACTTTTTAATGCTGGAGCTAAACCTAACACTACTTTTTAACACTATATATGTATATGTACACATTGGTTATATGTAGCTCCAAACATCTGAATTATATAGGGTGGCAACCGGAGGTTCCAGGAAAACTACGAAACATACTTATATGTATATACCTAAGACCACATGATTGCCCCGGTGTTAGGATGACAATTCCATTCTATTGCTTGTGTTGTATGTGTAATCTTCTGGTTCACACTGTTTGGTGTTCGTTCCGCGGAGTCAGCGGCGTCACTCTTTATACGATATTTTACCGATACAAAGATGTCGCCTCGGCTATGTTCATTTTTTTTGTTCATAAGTAGCGCGTACGTAACATCTGTAATAATATTATTAATTATTATTCTCTTTTCTTTTATTATTACATCTGTTTCATATTTTAAACATCAAATAAAAGCTAAGGAATTATAATTCCTTCAACAATGCTAATAAACTTCATGTTTTATACATAATATGTTTTGTATATCAATAATTTGAAATATTCTTTATTCGTCACAAATTTCAAATTGACTCTTATTTTAAAAGCGACACGAGAATTTTTTATGAAATTCTCAAACAAGCTAAAAAAGCATTGCCTCTAGTTTATATTTTATAAAATAGTTACTTTTATTTAGTTTTTAAATTTTTATTTTGAATTAAAATCTTAACATAATAAAGATTGTATAAAAATATTAAATTCATTTAGTACTTTTAATGCGTAATACTCATCATTTAAGATAGTTTAGCCCTACTTAATAGGGAAAATCTGTGTTTTTAAAACAAAAAGAGATTAAAAACAATAATGAAGAGGTAAGTGAATTATTAAAGTGCTTTGTAATGTACTGTACTGTATGTTATTATCATTTTAATAAACTAAAACTAACATTATTTGCGTTAAAAATGGTTATTATCAGTACGAAGGATCACCTACAAGTTCATCAGAAAATTATGGAAATTGTCAACACATTATTTTCATATGAAACACCTTCTAAATATAATTTCTAAGAAAATACAAAGTCTCTTGTGATCTCCTCCTGAGAAAAAAAATAGTGTTTTATGTTATATAATGCGTGGGATAAAAAATCTATAAAAACATTACATGGTGTATTTTTTAAGATATTACTGTGTAAATCTTGTTACTGAACTATAATGAGGCTAAACATTAAAAAATAAAAATTTTGTAGTTATAATGGAAATCTGTGATAAATGCACTCATATACAACATTTTTTTAATTACTTTTATTTATATTAATATTTAAGTATTTGAAATTTTCCATCAAACAAAAAAGATTTATATATAAATTTATAATCAAATAAAAAAAAATTCGGAAACTATTAGTATTATCCTGGATATAGACTAGATAACACCACCTCAATAAAATATCACAAGTTTGTTGATCAAAACACATGTACACATGAACCGTACGCTTGCTTTGATAGCTTTGTGGTCACATGACATGGTGAACCCTCGAATTATTGAACACAAAGGGATCAAGAATGTTCACAAAGAATCAGTCGCTTTGACCTTTATGTTTGTTTGAAATTTTTTGTGAAAGCTAGACAAGGATTTAAATGATTTTGGATAACGTGACTCTACTTGCTTTAAAAACGTTGACAAAATTATATTTTTGGCCTTTATAAGTATATTGAATTGTTCTCTGCGATATCATTGTACTCAATTACATTGGTCACTAAAATAAAATGACATATTGCTAAAGATGAGATAAACCAGACAAATCACAAATCTTGATCATATCGATTTGGATATTATAGTTGTAATAAAATGTGAAAAACATAAGTGAGAACTTTTACAAATACAGTAAATTTAACTTATTACGGTACTTGATAAGTAAAAAATACATATATGTATTATTAAAGTCATATTAAGAAATTTCAGTGCTGAGTTAATTTCAAATATGAGATGAGATGCGAGAAGTATTTAAGGAGTCGATTTAGTTTTTATTATAAGAAGTTTCATCGAATAACACAATACACCACACAGGGAACGTGATGTAAACTATTTGAAAATAACATTCCAGAGTAATGAAGTAACATAGACAAAGATACATCTACAACCATAACTTTATAGCTTCACAGTAAATTGCTAAGTGTATCTGTAATATATGGGAGGTAGGGGAGGTATGGGCAGTTGGGAGACATGGGCACCCCCTTTTTATTCTGATTTAATTTTTTTACCTGCACAGGTACGATGCGCACTGATGAACGCAACCACTACCGCCAGCCAGATAGCCCGTATGACGTCCAGGGGAGTGTGAGAGATAGCATATCTAAAAACTAGCCTACCTGAAATTCTTGTTTTTTTGACGTTGCTAGCTCTCGTACTATTAATTTAATTATAATTTTCAGACGACATTGCTTAGTTAAGGAAAAGAATTTTAAATATGATACTTTAAGCTAATTTTGCAAATATTTCCGTAAATAAATAAAAAAATACAGACATTTATATCAACAAAGAACCGATTGAACACATACTGACTCTTTTCATTAAAATTGTTGTGTACCTTGTGAACTTTATTATTTTGTTAATTATTTTGTTAATAATACTACAGAAAAATATCTGTTTTTTTAAGTGATTTTTTTTAATTCATAAAAATATGTAATTTATTATTTTATCATTTTTAGAACGACTGTATTAAGCTAAGAAAAGTTTAGTGTTTATTCATAGTCAAATCGGATTATCACGATTTGGATTATCACGAGTTCATGTTACCTTGAAGAAATGAGTAAGGGAATGAGAACGCTACGTTGCTATGTTCTTTTCCTCGGGGCTAAATATTTTCTGTAATTCTCCCTCATAGGAGGGTAAATTCTCTGCCCTATAACCGAAGTCCGCTGGCAGAGGAGTTCTTTAAGAACGTTAGCCTTTGCAGCGTTCTCCTAAACCAGAACCTCTTAAAATTAGTCCACCTAGGATATCTTGTTCGCAAGCTTTACATGAGAATTAATAATCGACATAATGGTTTTTCTCATAATTTCAAAGCCACATGAAATTTTCAGAAGTCGAAAAATATTTTTTCTCTGAAACAAAGATTGAATTGAAAGAAACCAAATCAGAACATATTATCCTTGTGTTCATCCAGTAATCTATACTTATAATAAATCTGTAGAGAGGTTAATTCTATACATAAAATATATTTAAAAAATAACTATCAGGGAGTGGTAAGGGATCGCCACTGATGCAAAAAATGCAATCAGTAAAATTTCTATCTGTCTGTCTGTCTGTATATTCGTTATAGAAACAAAAACTACTCGACGAAATTTAACGAAATTTAGCACAATTATTCTTGATACTCTTGGGCAGGTTTTAGTATACTTTTCATTACGCTACGATAAACATGAGCAGAGCAGTGAAGGGAAATATTGTAAAAACGGGAGAAGTTACTCCATTTTTTAAGCTTCCGTCACGCGTGCACGCTTAGATGTTAAAGCTACATAGAAATCATGTATGACGGGAAAATTTTCATTAAAATTATATAAAAAGTATTCCTGGACAGCATATGTTTATCTTTATGGTTGACTCACAATAACACGTGAAACTCCCGATAGCTTAGCAATTCGGTGATTTCTGATTGTATTGGGTTGTTCGGAAAGTCATTTCGTTTTTTTTGCGGAACATGAAAGATAGTTTTCGTATAATGAATAAATATTTTATTAAATTATATATTGGCCATTCTGGTCCAACACCTTTTGCCAGCTTTCTGGCAGTAACATAATTTCCCTCTCATAAAAGTTTTGGTCGTTGCTGGCAAAAAACTGGTTCAGGTGGTTTTTGACATCTTCATTTGAAGTAAAGGTTTTGCCATCCAAAAAATTTTGCAGGGACCGGAACAAATAGTAGTCAGAAGGCGCCAGATCTGGAGAATGTGGTGGATGTTGCAGGACGACCCATTCAAGCTGTAAAAGTTTTTTGCGAGTGTTCAAACTTGTGTGAGGTCTCGCATTATCCTGGTGGAACATTACACCCTTCCTGTTGATTAATTCAGGCCTCTTCTCTTTGAGTGAATCATTCAATTTGTCCAGCTGATGACAATAGACATCTGAATTAATCGTTGTATTGTCCGGCAAAACCTTAAAAAAAAACGATTCCTTTGATATCCCACCAAATGGAGAGCATCACCTTATATTGGTGAATGTTGGCTTCTGACATGCTTTGAGCCGGTTCATCTTTTCTGCTCCATTACCTCTTGCGTTTAACATTGTTGTATACAAGCCATTTTTCGTCCCCAGTAATAATCCGTTTCAAAAATGGATTATTTTCTTGACGTTTGAGGAGCGAATCACCCGCGTCAACGCGACGACACAAATTTCACTCCGTAAGGTCATAGGGCACCCTTTCAAATGGCCATAAACAGCCAAAATCGACAAATTTAATCTCTTACCGATCTCTTGTGTGGTTATTCGCCGATTTGCATCGACTAATGCCTTTATCGCATCTTTGTCAGCTTCGACTTACCTTCCAGACCGTGGAGCACCTTCGACATCAAAATTGCCGGATCGCAATTTTGCAAACCAGTTCTGACACTGGCGTTCTGTTAACACGACTTCTCCATACACATCCGTCAATTTTTTTTTTGGTTGGACATCATTTTTACCTTTTCTAAAGTAAAAAAGTAAAATATGACGAAAATACTGCTTATTGTTCTCCATGTTTAAAAGGGCACCAACCAAAAACTACTGCGTAGAATTATTAGAACTTTTTCACACACAAGCCTTGCAATATCAGCTCTCAAGACTCAAGCTCTCAAGACTCAAGCTCTCAAGACTCAAGCTCTCAAGTTATGCGGCTTAAGTGTGAAGTTGGTTTCGAAAAAACGTAATTAAGTCATCTGACAGGAAAAAACGAAATTACTTTCCGAACAACCCATTATTTCTCTACTGTAACGTTAACAACACTATCACTCATCCCTTATTAAAAAAAATTAACATTATTACCTATTCAATAAAAAGAATCATGTAAATCGGTGAAGAAACACCAAAGTCATATATGAAATAATAAGTCATCGCACGTGAATACAGAGTCATGCTATAAGTATTATTTTTGTGTATCGGTTGCCGGTTAACATCGCTCCGTGTATACTCGTAATTTCAATGTATTGACTATTTCCGCTAATTAAACAAATCCAAACGTTTTAAAATGAGAACATATTCAACTAGCCATTGCGCTTGGAATAAATTAAGGATTTAATTTAAAAATTACAATAAAATATTCACATAATCCGGGTTAAGGATAGTCCAACCCATTTTTTTTTGGATAAAAAACATACCATACAACACATAATCATTAAACGCAAACATAAGGAATACATTATATGTCGTAGAAATTATTAGCTAGTGAAGGATATTAGAAGCAAAAAATAATAATATGGTTCATGAAGTATTGTTTTTTTTTTTCATTAACGTATAAGAAAAAAGGATTTTATTATTTTACCGATCTTTTGTACAAATACTTCTCTGTTCTCATTAATAAATGGGTAACATAAAAAAATTGGTATTTCCCTGTCAAGATTTTAACAACTGATATAAAAAGCTACAAAAATGACCAATCACCATTCTGCTTTGTGCACTAAACTTTTTATAGACATACTTCTTGCTTAATTAGAATAAGATATGATTGTCTTATATATATGATCCATTAATTTAGTAGATATCATAATGTGGATGAGAGAGGTCGATATTTCATCCAGTCGTAGTGGAATGAAGTGAAGTGATAACTACTTATTTCTAATATGAAAAAAACTCTTTCATTACATTTAAGGTAGACATTTAAGATTTTATTATGTATCACTTCGTTTCAATAGTAACCTTAGTAACAAAGCCAAATGCAAGGAGTGAATACTAACAAGATTCTACCGAATATGAAGTTAAAAATAAGATTTCTAGTTCGTAGATTTTCACACTGGAGCCCTGTAATTAAAATCCGATTGTTTAAAGCTTATTGACAGAAGTACTTTATTGACATCTCACGGACTTTTCAGAAATAGTTACTTGCTAAATAAGATACAAAGAAGAAACAAAAAAAATTAAATATATTGATAAGATGAATCTTCTCAGTATTCCAAAATCAATGTAAATAAGTACTAAGTAATATTTTTAAGGTACAACAGCCTAGACAGTTATATATATTAAATAAAAGAATTTCTTTAAATTTCAATTATATATTGTATATTATATGTGTAGTGTCCATGTTATTAATTTATATAGTTATACTATGATATATTTACATATAAAAACAGATCTTAATGAAGCACCAACTACAAAATTTTCGAGACGATTAAAAGAAAGAAACTAAAAATATTTATCATTCACTCATCTAAATACAAAGAAAAAGAATATAAATTTGAAAACTTTATTCCATAATAAATTAAAACTTATGTAACATAAAATAATTATATATAATAAATTGAACACTAAATAATTATGTACTAATCGTGAAAAAATTATTTTCAAATTCGTTCATTTGGAAAATATTTCATTGAAATTATCCAATGGTAGTCCCGCGGATTAGGGTGATTAGGGACAGTGCAATACGCCGAAACTTCGGCATATGCCGAATCGTTCAATGATCCAAAGCACAGAACAAAGCGACGCCACGCTATATCCTGTGAGATTGTGGCTTATGAGTCGCCAGTTCAATAGTCATTACATAGTTGTTCGAGTGTCCAGTGGTCGAGAGTGTCCCGGCTCTAACGAGTGTCTTGTATGTCGGACATTCGTATAAATCTTGCGCTAGACGATGATTTTGTTCCGGTTTCATATATATGATTGCCAATTCTGGAATTGAATATTTTAAATATTTTAGTTTTTATCACCTCATTAACATGAACTGCTGATAAAGTAGTGAAGTTTTGAAATACCAACCGGTGTGTAGTTCCTTTGGCCTGCTTTCTTCTAATGTCATATCACCAGTATTAAACCCAGCACCTTCTAAAAATAGGCCTCGGACGCAGCAAACATCATCTGGTTTCTTCGCTGGCGGAGCGTTAAGAGCCTGGAAATATAACTTAGTTTATATAAAATAAGAGCATATATTCCTTTCACATCTGTTCTGGTAACCATTGTTCTAAACTGTTCATTTAAATAAACGTCTATTTTCATTTATTTTTTATTTTTAATAAAATAAAGATTACATTTCATAGACTGACCAGCTTCGCTGGTATGCTAGAGTTTTGAGACCTGACGATATAATTACTTATAGAATTAATCGCGAGTCCTATACTCACTTTTCTATCTTATTTTCGACTACTAATCACTACTGATACTTAAACAACAAAATTTTTTCCAACCCGACACCAAAAAAAAAATACAAACCCGCAATGGAACTTCATGTTATTCAGTCAGAAACATGTGAAGTTGAGAAATACCGTCTGTGAATTCGTATGGTATATTAAAACCAAGAAGCCCAAAACTTCCGTCTTTCTAGAACAACACCATGGAATAGGCATATTATAGTGAAAATAGGAGCCACTGAAAATTACAAAAGTTTTGTTACTACTAATTCAATAGTCCTAAAACCTGAAGAAATAAAATAAAATAGCTTCTTCATAAAGTCAACTGAGAAAATAACATGTCTTTGTTTCGAAGTCATATAACAAATTTATTAAACAGATACATTTTATACTTGTTTTTCTTAATATAAATAATATGGAGAACCTTAAAATTAGAAACTTTGCTGTCTGATGAATTAAATCATTCAAAAAAATCAGGGATTCCTATATACTTTTAATAAGTTAGCTTTAATTCCTCTAGGTGGTTCCACTGTCATTTTATATCCTGAAAAATTCATATATATTTTTAAAACCTTGACTTATAATTAAATATGATAATGATAATTATTATAATTAGAATTATTTTTAACGTCTTATTTATATTTATAACTTTAAGTAAATAAGGTATAGTTTAAATACTTGTGTATCGTGTGGTTATAATTAACTTTTTGTACGAATAATATTTAAAATACCGTTCTGTAATAATGCCACAGGAAAGAAGGGTGAAGGTGTTGATGTGAGTTACAGCCGAAAGTCCTTATGAACTACTTCTGGGACTATTTGCTCCACATTTAACTCCAAGACTGGCATCCATGATGGAGACAAATGGCAATTCTGTAATTTACATTTAAAAATATATATATCGTGAGGTCAGAAGTCACACTAAAAAGGTATCTACACATATGTAGGTTCGAGTTAACATCTAACGCAATAAATTTCATTAAAATAGATATTGCTGTCTACTGAATAAAAATACAGGCAATTAGCCTAGACAAAATTATTATCACATTTTTATTAATATATGTACATAAAACGGATATATCATACATATTTGGAATCTTTAAGAGTTAATCTTAAATTAATTTCTTTGAATTGTGATATAGCATTTTCTTAAAATTGTTTTAGATTCATTATGAAAAACACTTAAGCCGTGCTATAAGTTATATTCGAATGATTCAAAAAAAACGAATATACATTAGTATTGAAAGAAACTGTAAAACTTTACCTGAAAAATTTAAGTTATAAAAAAAAAACACAAAAAAACACTTATTAAATACAAAAAATATTACTTTTAATCGAATATACTATTGCTAACATGTTTTTCATAGTATAATATTGTTCCAGTGTGTACTAACCGCTATCTCCGCCCTCAGTGCGTCGTGGTGCGCCCTCTGAGCGTGCGGCAGCTGGGGATGACGACCACGAGATGACGTCACGGAGCTGGGGAACGATATTCATGATATATATCTAAAAAATATAAATTCTTCTGTGAGTGTGTATGTCACTGAACTTCTCTCAAAAGACTGGACCGATTATGATGAAATTTTTTGTGTGAGTTCAAGGGGATCTGGGAATTGTTTAGATTCACAATTTTGTCCGCTGGACAATGTTTTTTTAATTATTATTTTATTTATTAGTAGTTGTTGATACAAACGTTTTTTTTGACATTAGATTTGACAACTAACTAATATGTCTATCATTCTGTCGCACTTCAAAACACGGAGATTTATGGCTTTAATAGGGAAACTTCAAAAATATAAATAAAAAAACGTAACAGATATTTTTTGATTATAGGCCGATACGAAGTTCGCCGGGTCTTCTAGTATATATATAAAATTCTCGTGTCACAATGTTCGTTCCCATACTCCTCCGAAACGGCTTAACCGATTCTCGTAAAATTTTGTAAGCATATTGAGTAGGTCTGAAAATCGACCAATATCTATTTTTCCTTCCCCTAAGTGATAGGGGCTGTTCATCCCTAATTTTTGTTTTGATTTGGACGAAAGGTTTTAATTTTATTTTTTTATCAAGTGGCATAAGAAAATACATAAAATCCTAAATATTAATTTTTTTATCACCAACCCCTACTTTTGATATGACAAAACAATATTTGCGAGGCAGATAGTATATATTAAATAAAAAATAATCTAAACTAAGACAACCATTAAATTAGTGCTTAATATAGAAAAATATCTCTTAATTAAACGTTATTTCATTTAATTTTTGTTATAAGTGCGATGTCGAATTGTATATTCATAAATGTTTTTGTTATAAGTGTAATTCTCATATAAGTGATAATAATGTCTTAATGGAAATAAAATATCATAAAGGATACATTATTTATAGGCGTAAAATCGTTAATATATAATTAATTAGTATATAAAGAAAATATATATAAATTAGATAGATTAATCAAATGTAGCAATATATTAAAACACTATCAGATCATAAAGGTTTTGTATAATAGTGAAATCCCACAGTAATACCTCGGATAGGAAGGTCTGTAATTCCAGGTGTTGGTGCAGCAGTTTCCTCCTAAGGTCTGCAGCACCTCGCAGTGACCGCCACGCCTCACTGAGCGCCTGCTGTCTCAGCGCTATCTGCTGGGAGTTACTTCCTCCTGGAGCACCTGGAAATAGATTTAATATCACTACAACTATCACTTCTACCTGGCAACTTCCCAGCTTTAGCCAGGGTCTACCTTACATGTTGTGAATAGTTTTGGCTAATTGTTTTTACGACCGGCCGCCTGCCTGACATCAACCCTCTTTGGGAATGCATTAATCAGTGATGTCTAAATATTCTTAGAAAGTACATATGACTCAGAAAAATCACATTGGTACTTGCCCGGGCCAGGGTGTATATTACTACAACTATAAAATACTGCAAAAATCAGTTAAAATCTTATTTAGGCAGAATTAGGCTACATTAAATAAGGAGCTATGATATTATGAAATAGATTTTGACAAGTATTCATTTAAATCAGGGGTGTCCAAACTAGATGGGACTAAGGGCCAATAAAAAATACTAAATACATTGGTGGGCCGCAAAATATTTGTAAAAATAAAAAACAGTTTATAATGATTTGTTATTTTATTTAGTAGGTAGATAACCTACTGTTTTGTTAATTTGTCTTTTACAATTCTGTCAATATCAACATTAATATTAGTAGTAGCTAGGCGCAGTGCATGCTTAAGTGAAGTATCTGTCAATGAAGACCTGTATTTAGACTTAATAAACTTCATTGTCGAATATGCACTTTCACAAAGGTAGGTACTGCCCATCATCGAGCCCATTTTTTGTCCGAAATTCGTCAGTTTCGGGAAACGTTCAACGAGGAGTTTAAAAAAATCAATGCCTGTTTCTGTTCTGCCCTTGTAAAAGGGGTCTGATTGCAGATCACACAGTTCCAGTTGATAATCAATGTTTACAGTCTCAACTGCGATTGTTAATGGTTGAGTGAAGAGTGCTATATCACTCTCAATTTTTTCAAAATCTGCGAAACGCCGCTCAAATTCGACGATTATTTCGTCCATGTATTTGAGGTGGTCCAAGAAATAACATTCCTCAAAATTTTTCATCTCTAAATAATGTTCTTTACAACTTGGAAAAAAAGAAAAATCATCTTGTTGTAGAGACGTCTTGAACAATTTAAGTTTATTTCTGAATCCATTCACATTTCCATACAGGTTGGCTATATTGTGGTTTTTACCTTGCAATTTTAAATTTAACTCATTCAAATGTTGCGTCATATCAGTTAAAAACGCAAGATCAGCCAGAAACTGAGGATCTCGCATTTTATCTTGTAGTTCAGAAGTGTCAGACGATATCTCATTTTTTAGAAATAAAGGTATTTCTTTTCGTAAGGCAAAAAAGCGTTGCAAGCACTGGCCAGCACTTAGCCATCTGATTTCTGAATGCAATAGTAAATCTCCATAGTTTGCATCGATTTCACATAAGAAGTCTCTAAATTTTCTATGTGTCAATGATCTGTTTCCACCTCTAATCAAATTGGTTATCCTTATAACAACTTTCATAGCATTCATTTGACGCAACGATTTTCCACACAAGGCTTCTTGGTGTATGATACAATGGAACAACGGGCAATCAATGCCATTTTGTATTAGAAGTCCCGCAAATCCTGTCACTTTTCCGGTCATAGCTTTTGCCCCGTCGGTCACAATACAAGAACACTTACGAAATCCTCCATATTCTACAATAGTTTTGTTAACTGCTTCAAATATATCACTGCCTTTAGTTGTTCCATGAAATGGTATTAAATCCAGCATTTCTTCCGTGATTGTAAAATCTTTGGAAATGCAACGTATGAAGATTATTAATTGACTGACATCGGTCTGGTCGGTACTTTCATCCAAACATATTGAATAATATTCGCAATCTACAAAGTAATCACATAAACTTTTCGTAATATAATTACCCATGTCCTCTATTCGTCGCGCCACCGTTTGGTGAGATAATGCAACAGATTCAAACTTTTCCGCTAATTTCGGCTGCATAAAGCGTTTAGCCATTTCAACTGCGCATTTTTTTATTAAAGCTCCATCACTAAATGGTTTTTTAGCTCTGGCTAATTGTAATGAAACTTCATATGAAGCAGCCAAGCTTTGTTCATTTTCAGTACTTACTTTTGAAAACATAGTTGTTTGCTGTATTAGTTTTTTTTTTTGTACTCAGCCACCATAACTTTTCTTGCTTCACCGACATGTTTTTTATACTTTTCTTCATGTAAAGAAGTATAGTGTCGCTTAACATTATATTCTTTACTTACAGATAAAACTTGCATACAAATCAAACACTGAATTTTATTGTTATTGTTGGAAATAAAGTAGTCTAACTCCCATTTCTCATTGAATGAACGTTTTTCTTCACTTAACTTCCTCTTCTTTGTAGACATGATGAGGTTAAAAGTTTTTTATACGCAAACACAAAGCGAACAAACTTTAAAATAATGTTAAAGTCTTTAACCTGAGAGTAACCTGGCGTAATCAAGACTTTCGTCGCGTTGAATGACAAGTGACAAACAAATGCCCAATGAACGATGCGCGGTAGTAGGTACACGTATCTTGCGTTCGGGGAATTCCCCGAATTCTCGAGTGAATAGTGATGTGAGCAGCGTAATCGAACATACCCAAAACATTCGATTTTGATGCGAGAAAAATAATTTGCTTGTTAATTTTGGAAACTTTTTTTGAAGTCAGTTAAAAAAGGTTCTACGGGCCGCAATCAAACAAGCCGCGGGCCGCATGCGGCCCGCGGGCCATGGTTTGGACAGCCCTGATTTAAATGAAACTAATATTTATCATATTGTCTGCCCGTGATCATGATACTGTAAAGTAAACGAAACGTCGGAAATATGTATTTTTTTATCAAAACGTTCATCCAAGAAATATTAGTTTCATTTAAATGAATACTCGAAAAAACCTTAGATTTCATTATAAGTCAATCTTAATAGTTACTCTGTGTCTATGAGTTTGCATTTCTTATCACTGTTTTGTACACAATTATTTTTAATTTATTGTAAGAATATGTTAAACTACCTAGTGATACATTTATTATGATTGTCGAAGTTTTAATTTAAAATACATACTTAATATGTTTAAAGTCATAATTTTCTCAAGTCTGCGCGTCTATAGTGACCATATCGTTCTCGGCTGCGTCGTGGTCCCTCAAGAGGGCGGTGGCGGCGCGCAGGTCGCGGGGCGCGGGGGGCGGGAAAAGGCGTGCCCGGCGCTCCCCGGCCCGCGCCAGCAGGTCCCCGGCGTCGCGGTGGAAGCGGTGGATCTCGCCAGCAGCAGCCAGGCGCTGGCTGCGGGACTGGATCTGTTCTACCAGACGCTGCCAGGACTCGCTGGAATGTATGAATTGTATTTGAGTTGTGGATCATGTAAATTAGATCTTATAAATATGTAATTAAAATTCATTTTGCCTTGTTTTAAATGACATGTGGAATTTTTGAATTAGATCCTATGTGTATGTTATTAAGTCTCATTTTTCTTTGTCTAAATTAAATTCCATATCTAGTTATTAAGTCTTATTTTAACTTGTACAAATTTATTTGCATTTGTGCAATGTCTTATTTAGATTCCATACCTGTATACATGTCATTAAGTCTCAATATTCTTTGGTATAAATTTGATTCGAACATGTTGAGTATCTATATTAGATCCTATATCCTATATATTAGATAATATATACATATATAGATTTCCGTGAAGTTTCAAAGCTTAATATTTGAAGATATAACTGCATAATGTCTCCATCACCAAGTGTGATGGCTGGAGCACCCTCTCATCATCATCATCATCATCATCTACATATCGTTACTCACCAGTAAGTGTTCATAGTCCTGTCCGTAGTCTTCACTGGAGGCGGCTGCTTGCTGCTCCGCAACCCATTCCTCCAACTCAGCGCTCTCAGCCAGATATTCATGTCTAAGGATGGACACACATATTTTTAGAGGATATCCTATTTATATATTCCTATAACACACATATACTAGTCTTTGTCAGCAACTTCTTCATAATCAACTTCAGGAATAGAAAGGCGTTACTGTGTAACGCTTAAGAAGCAGTAAATAACAAGTCTTTGATAAGTAGTTATTTATTTAAATTTCGATCTCGCTTAATGAAAAGTATGCTACGTCAGTCTCCTGTTTCTAAACTACCTCGAAACAAATTTACAAATTCTTATAGCCCTTCTTGATTATAACTAGTGCGACGAATATGATATGTATATATATAGTAACTCTCACCTGCACACACTCTCCACGAGCGCGGCCTGCCTGCTCGCTGCCAGTCTCTGCAGCCTAGCCAGACTGCCAGCAAGCTGGTCATGTCTGGTGACCAGCGCGGCGCCCTCAGGATGACCACCGGAAGCCATGGATTGCGCCACGTGACCCATTACCGCTATGATCGCCGCGTATGTGTCCAACTCGAGTTCTACGGCCTGTTGGTAGGTTAAAGAGGAATTGTAAGATAATGCTGAATATACTCTGTATTATTATATTTCTGTTAATTGAAAGTGTTAGAAATTTAAATAATGACAACTTCTTCTGATTTAAGTCCATATATATATGTTAGATGTCATACTCCTGCCAAACGGCTTAACCGATTTTTATGAAACTTTATATGCATATTCAATCATTTTAACAATTGGCTACTATCTATATTTCATACCCCTAAGTATAAGGGCGGCCCACTTTTAATACCTTATTAATTTTTTTTTGGACAACCTTTCATAATGTGGCATTATAAAATACATACAACCTTTAATTATCACTCTTCTATCACCAACCCCTATTTTTAATACATGTTTTATAAATATTTGATCCTACTCAATGACTGATAAATTTTCACTTCATAAGTCACTTGATGACTTACATATATATAGTGATTTATCATTTCTTGTAGCTCAAAAATTGTGTGATATGACGAAAATCTAATTCTTAGCGATGTATATATATATATATATATTACCTTATGCCGTGTGAGTAGTTGCGTCGCTCTATGCCTATCATTGCCGACGTCACCGGAAGCCAGTGCGGCGGCCTTGTCTACTTCCGCTGCATCATACAGGAACTGCTGGGCCTTGACCGCCGCCTCCAGCCGGACCGCGCGCTCCTCCGCCGCTGATGATACAGAGGAGTACGCCTCTTCAAGCTCCTGGCACAGCTGCTTGATCTGGAATGTGATCGTTATAGTTAGTGAGTGGAGTAGGGAAATAAATTATATGTATATGCATAAATTTTTCTTCTCCTTCCTGGCAATTTCCCAGTTTTAGCCAGGGTCTGCCTAAGATGTGTGAATAGTTTTGCCTAATTGTTTTTACGACCGGACGCCTGCCTGACATCAAACCTCTTTTGGAATGCATTAATCAGTGATGTCTAAATACTCTTATAAAGTACATATGACTCGGAAAAATCACATTGGTACTTGCCAGGACCGAACCCGCGCCCTCTTGCATGAGAGGCGGGACTTTTAACCACTAGGCCACAACTGACTGAGGAAATGAATTATATGTATATACATAAATTAATATAATACAAATTGGTGTTTCAGTTAATGTCGCGTTCACACTGTTTACTTCGCTGTAAGCAACAGTACTATGCACATTTGCTTGGAATCTACTCTCAATGTCTCTCCTACTTTCTACATTTGTGTATCTTTCTTTCCCTTCGTTGAACGTTTAACGCAACCTTGTTGGTAGTCGCATAAGAAGTTTTACTTCAAGAATTCACTCAAAAAATATTAAAAAAATTCAATTATTATCAGCCGAACTTTGTCCAAGAATAATTTAATTGTGCATGCTGTATATAATATTTCAGATGAACCAAGGTATGGTGTGGAGATCCAGAATGAATTTAACTATGATACTATGACGTTGGTAGGATGGACATTTTTTACTATGCGTCAGTTCTGCACTATCGAACGGACGCGTGTTTCTCTCTTAGAAATAAATACCTACATATAATCACTACAAATACAATGGGACATATAACTATATAACATTACTATGTAATACATGAGAATGTGAGTTATATATATATAGTCCACCTTCCCAGCCTGTGGATGCGTGTCCAGCTCCTTGCCCCGCTGGAGCACCCCCTCCACGACAGGCCTCCGCCCCTCCAGCTCCGCCCTCAGCTTGGCGTGTTTCTTCTGCGCGTGGCAGATGAAGCAGCGGCCTGGCGCTCCGACACCCAAGCTAGCTCTCCTGAAACCTCGGCAGCGAACTTGTGTGGTCTGTGGAGGATTTGGATAAATAAAATTAGTCCTCAAATTGATTATGTACTATTACTATCCTACTAATATTATAATTGCGAAAGTTTGTGAGTGTGTATGTATTTTTTTATTTATTTAGGCACACAAACAGAATATAAGCCGGATTACATATGAGTTACAGTCTAAAATTATTTTTAGTTTGATTATATTCTTAAGTATGTGTACACGGCATAATCATTGGAAAAACAATATTTTTGTCAGGTGCAACATTATTTAGGTACAATTTAAGACTAACGAATAAACAGGAAAATGTACGTTTGTTACTTCTTTACGCTCAAACGGCTGAACCGATTTTGATAAAATTTTGTGTACAGGAAGCTGACGTCCAGGAATAACACATAGGCTACTTTACATCCCGGAAATCTCGGAAATCCGCGGGTAAAATCTCGGGGCGCAGCTAATATGGTATAAATTATAAAATAGTTGCTTTTCTTGTCCCTATATCCGTATGCATTCTTAATAACTTTTTTTTTTTTGGTGCAGTTTGATGCAGTTGGATTTTGGTGCAGTTTTTTTTTGAAAGATAGATTGTTTGAAGATGAAGATTTGTATGTATAATGATATCCATAAATAAGTGGAGAACCCTTATCCAGTTAAATAACTTTAATACATTTTTGATTTAAAATAGATCTACGTCCCGGCTCAATTGTATATATGTATTACATACATATATATTGTTCCGTCAACCGTTAATCATTTCTTATATAATATTGTATTGAATCATATTTTAGTTATATCGTATACTGACTGTAGACTAGTTTCCAGCGCCTGTCTCCTCTCGGCTGCTCGAGGGCGGAGCGCCCGGGCGGTCTGCAGCAGCGCAGCGGAGTCTCTCTCGATGGCCGCGCCGTCGAAGT